TATGTATTGGACTGGGCCGCTCTGACACAGAGCCCCTGGCAGCTGCAGCTGTTTTACCAACCTAAGGATGAAAGGGGAAGAATCTGGGTCCTTGATGCATTGAAGTTAAGTTAGCTCTCCTTGGTCTTATCTGTGGCAACTACGTAAGTTTATTTTATTCAGGCTCATTGTTCTCCAGAGTTAAAAACATTCCTAATCAGATGGGCAGGAAATACAACATAAGTGGTCTGTATGTAGAGAAGAGGTATTTGAAACCATTGTCATTTCAGTAACAGACCGTGACCAGCTTTTATGGATGGGAAATAATAAGATGCAATTTTTACTGAGATAGTAAAGTGCACTGGATATTCGCATCTGGCCGCACATCCCAGAATCCTTTCTCAGAATATTTTGATGGTATTTTTTATCCTAGTTACTATTTCTTCATTTGATGCATCTGTATTTTTCTTTCATTTTTGACCTCACAAACAGAAAACTGATTTGATCATGCTAAATGGTCTGAAAGCTTATGCTCCCTCCCCTCAACAATTCGTGTTTGAATCCTAGCTTCCAAGTTAATGGCATGTGGGGGTAGGGGGAAGGTGATTAGCTCATGAATTGGGATTGATGCCCTGATAAAAGCCACCCAGAGCCAGCTGCAAGGTGCAGTAGTAGCCCAGAGCTGTTCAGTGTAGAAAGCCCTGTGGAAGACGAAGTCAGTTCCTGGGAAGACCTGTACATGCAAGGTATCTGTGTGTCTGTGATCCTGGCTGGTTAAACAGTTGCAGGGGCGGAGGGGAGGAAGGGGAACAGAAGGAAAAAAACAATATGTTTTAACACAGACATGAAAAGTTATTTGCTGATGATAATGTATATGATAATGTTTTTGTCTTGACTGACATGCACTGTATTTATGCTGGGAAAAAACATTTGTACACTGTAAAGATGTATAGTGATTAAATGTAAATTATACACACACACACACACATATAATAGTAAGAAATTTAGCAAAAAAAAAAATGGGAGAATGGGGTGATTGTGACATGAGACTCCATTGATGGTGAAGTTTTTTTACTCCCTCTTATTAAATAAAGAAACTTAAAAAGACAAAAAGACTACAAATAACTTGTGTTCCTTGCACCAGCTGAGGACATAGCCAAAAGATGCTACCTCAGGACTAGACAGCAGGCCCTCACCCAAACTCAACCAAGACACTAGATTACCCTCAGACTTGCAACCTCTGCTGTAAGAAATAAATTGCTTTCGTTTACAAGCCATCCACTTTACGGTATTTTGCCGTAGCAGCCCAAATGGGCTAGGCAGATCCAATTCTGTATATAGTGCATGTTATGCTATAATTTTTTTATTGCAAGGAACATATTTCGTTCATATTTTATTTACTCAAATTACGTCATTTCATTTCTCACCCCCAAAACCACTCATCTCTCCAATCAGGCGGTTTTAATTGAAGCCCCAGCAACTTCAAAACTATGCCAAGCATGTGTGTGGATGCATCCCAGATTCCGACAGATAGATACACTCATGCAACTTTCTCAGATTTGTAATCTTTATGTCATTCTGTGAAAACTCTATCTTATCTTGCATGAGTATGTTTTAAAAGTATTTACATCAGAGAATAAAAGAGAAATAAATTTCTTACTGCTTTTTCTATTTAACCTGATGACTTTGAGCTCAACCCATGTTGCAATATGTCACATCTTACTTGATCTCCCAAATGATGCATGCTATTTCATCACATCCAGTTTATTATGAGTAATGAATAATAAACATGTTACAGAAATGAAATAAACGTATTATAACAATGTTCATTACTCATTATTATGAGTAATAAATGTTTATAACTTCATAATGATTAATAAACATGGTTATAATACAATGAGGGTCTTTCTTTTGCATCCAGATACATCAAGAAAAAGGTTGTTCTTTCTATTCCAACAAGCATAGACCTAATATATAGACGTCACGGATGGGAACAAAACCCAGTATACTTTATAATATCTCAGCCACCCAATGTGAGGAAGGAAAAATGGGAAAGTCTATTACTAAAGAGATGAATTTTCTTAGAATGCCAAATAGGAATAAGGTTGAGGATGTGGGAGACAGAATTTAATGTGTCACCCTGAGCCCAACCTGCTGGGATTAATGCCTTTACATAGTTCCTTCTTGAGTGTAGGCAATGTCTGACTTGGTCTGATCAATACATATGGAAAAGCTGATGCTATGTAACTTACTCTACATGATTCCATCTTACTAGCAGACTCACTCTAGAGAGTCTCTTTACTGCCTTAAGTAAGTGATCATGGTAAGGGAGGATGATTGTGGGCAATTCCTCCAGGAGACGGAAGCAATACCTGGTGTTTTTGTTTGTTTGTTTGTTTTTTGTGAAGAGGTTTTTGCTACAGGGTGTGTGCACTCACCAGACAGACAGAGAGAGACAGAGAGACAGAAAGCGAGAAACACCCCCAAAGGGGGATGGCCACGCCACAATCCCCCCTCCTCCATTCTACTCCTCCCACCATCTTGGGCACACATGCACACACGCCTGGTGTCAGTTTAAGCCGCCGGGTCCGGGACTCAAACCACCGTCAACTACCTGGGAGTCCAGCGACACAGCCATTACACTAACTGCTGGTCACAGCGGGAGCAATATCTAGACCCTAAGGCTAGACTTCAGCAGACAGAAGGTCTTCCATCTTAAACATCCAAGGACATGATCTCTGCCAGCATCCTACGTAAGCTTGGAAGTAGATTCTTCACAAGCCAGACAGATGAAAACATATCCTAGCTGGCTCCTTTTCTTTTGGAGAGATTTTTGTATTGCCATAGGGTGTTTGCCAGAAAGAGAGAGAGAGAGACAGAAAGCAAGAAATCACCCTCCATGGGGGGATGGCCACACCGCAATCCCTTCTCTTCCATTCTCCTCTTGGGATCTTGGGCACACACGCACATGCACCAGGAGTAAGTTTAAGCCGCTGGGTCTGGGACTCGAATCACAGTCAACTACATGGGAGTCCGGTGACATAGCCTTTACACTAACTGCTGGTCCCCCTAGCTGACTCCTTGATTGTAGGCTGTAAGATCCTGAACAGAGGAACCAGCTATTCCTATCCAGCCTCTTCATCCTTGGAAATTGAACTAATTTTAAGCTGCTCAATAGAGATGATAATTTGTTATATAGCAATAAAAAAAAAACAGTTAACATCGGAAGCTGTTATATTTATAGTCTGTAAGTCCCCAGGTAAGTCAGTTTTCCCTTGCCCAAGGAAATTATGTGTGTTGACGGTATTATAAGGTCAAAAACAGTGGTACAACACAAACAATAGACCGCCTCAGGGCTGTTTGGGAGAGACAAGTATAGAAATCTCATTTTTATGTGGCAGCTACTAAACACGAGTAACCATTATCTTTGAAAATCAATACCTGAAAGTCTTCACATTCTTACATATGAAATATGACATTGAAAGCTAAATACAATTGTTGTATTAATGTTCACACTGCACCTGTTAGCTTTATACTCAAAACTAAGGTATTTTAATTAATTTAACATGAGAACCAAGTTCCTTGTTATAAAGTGGCTTTGGCATTGCAAAAGTATTATTATAAGGAGTCTTAACAGAATAGACATTTAGATAATTTCCATTTCTTTGCTATCATGGTTAAAAGTGAAGCCTGGGGCCCAGCAGGTGCTGTGGTGGTTAAGGGCTCTGGACTCCCACATGGCCAACCACGGTTCAAATCCTGGACCTGGTGGCTTGCATTCTCATTTTCCCTCTCTCTCTCTCACTTCCTCTGTCCCTCTCTGTTCAAAATAAAATAAATAAATAAACATAAATAAAATAATTCTTAAAAAGAATAGTTAATGTTTGTTGCTCAAAAACTACCCAAAATACACCTGTAGTTAAACAAAGTTGGGATTATTGACTGCAAGTAGGGAGATGATAAACTTTTGGAAATTGTGGAGTATCTCAGTGAGAAAATGTTAGGAGAATTCTCATTGCTAATCGGTGTGTTGTGTCACGTGACTTGGGGGGGAGGTTTTCAAAAAAGCATGGTTTTGTTCTGGATTACATGTTCCCAGAAATCAGGACAATTTTGATTGGTTATATGAACTGTATTTTTTCAAAGTGGTAAGAGGAACAAAATAAGCTGAAGCATTTTGGGGAAAAAACAGGTCACTCATATTAGCCAAGAGAAGATACCTGTGGCAGTTTTGTGGTTTGTTTTCTATCCTCAGACATGATTAAGAAGAGGTCTGCTGTTTTGTCTATTCCATTGTGATTAAAGGTAACCTTGTCTGATGTTTTACTGTGAAATTATTTACATTTAACAAAGACTCTTAGAGTCAAGCGAATTCTAAGCAAACGATGTCAAAGATCACTGTATTTTTTCAAACAGAAAGTGATTGTGTTTGCTCTGTGTACATTTCTGTGAGAGCTTCTCAAAGGTAGAATTAAAAGAGAATTTATAAATCTGATTTCAATGAATACTACATGATTGCCCTCCAAAAATGGCTGCACGATTTATAATCCCATATATAGTAATTGTGGATTCCATACCAGCATCTGGTTTTATAATTCATAATGCATCAATTCCCTTTTTAAGTACTGTAGAATTTTTTTAAAAGAAAGCAAATTATTATTATTTTCACTATTATTGTTTTCCCTGGTCCTTATATTTTGAGTTTCATTTCAGATATTCACTGTAAAAATATTCTAGTTTTCAGACTAGAGGACAATTTATCAAGGAACAGGAAATATTTGTTTAGTAAAAGTATGACAATTACTTCGAGAAAAATAAAAAGACGCATTTTAAACACTTAATATACAATTTATTTTTCTGTTTTCTAATTAAATATACATAACAAAAATTGTTTTTGACAACTGTTACATACCTTAAATCTACCAAACATGGTAGAAAATATTGTACACAACTAGCAGTTACACAAAATTCTTACTTAATTTAAAAATCATCTATTTTAATTATAGCTTAGTTATACACACACACATAAACTCGTATACAGTGTTAGCTGCTACTTAAGGGTAAAGGGAACTATTCAAATTCTCAAAACATGTTAAAAATTGAATTTAGACCACATTAGTATGATAAAGTTAGCATCATCATTAATGTATATGGTGTAATAACTTTTATGACATCTTAAAAAGTTACATTTTTAAAAATATGAGATGCCAGGAAAAGAGGGAACATTATAAATGCAATGAACTAATCCAGGAATGAATTGCCATCTGACAGCTGGATTCAGCGTTGATCTTCATGACCAGGTGAGTACTATTGGTTCATCTAGAGTCACACTGTTCGGCGCCAGATCTATGATCAATACCTAAAGAGAAAGTAAAATGGTAATTAATTGCTTAGTTAGAACCTCATTTGTTGTTTTGTTGAATAAAATTATATCTATCAAAATATTCTCTAAGTAAGTAGGATCTGCTTTATCTTTTTTTTTTTTTTTTTTTTTTTTTTTTTTTTTTTTTTTTTTTTTTTTTTTGCCAGAAGGTTTGTCCATTCACTTGAGAGATACAGAAAAAGAGGGAGAAAGCACCTGCAACAGAATGCGGTCACTCTATAATCCTTTCTCTGTTACTCCATCCTGTTGTACAGCCATCCCCAGTCTTCCCCACACCAGGGACCAGCCTCATAGAAAACAGTTCTTCCCATCCAGAGATGGTTGGCATAATCGCTAGAAAATGTTTGAAAATTGGATTGATAGACCAATTAAAGCATCACTTTCACAAAGCTGGGATAAAAAAAAAAATCAATGGATCATCATTTCCTTTATCTAAATATCTATAAAGGTTTAGAAAACTGAGATGCTCATAAATATTTATTTTATTTAAATGTATTTGGGAGGGTCAGCAGTTAGTATGGTGGTTAAAGATGATGGACTTCCATATGGTCAATGGATGGTTCGAGTCCTAAACTCAGCAATTTACTTTCTCACATTCTCTCTCTCTCTTTCTCTGATCATTGCATGTGCTCAATAGGAAATTTAAATAATAATAATAAAGCAAAATAAAGCACTGGGAACACGTGCGTGCATGCCCAAAATCCTGAGAAGAAAATGGAGGAGAAGGGATGGTGGCATGACTATTCCCATTGGGGGATGATTTTTTACTTTCCTTCTCTCTGCCTCTCTCTAGTGAGCACAGACACCTTATGGCAAAAACAAAAAACAACAAAACAAAAAAACAAAAGGAAAATCTTATTTGATTTCAAAACAGTAAAATAACAATAAGATGGCATTAAGTTTAAGGTAGTAAGTTTCAACTGAATGAAATCTACAAGGATCTAAGAATGTGTCCAAGATAGAACATTTATTAACATGGAGTTAATAAATGGCTATTTTGTAAATTAGATTAATCTAAACTAACTGATTAGTAGCCAATTATTTTTTATCAAACTTTAAATACAAAATAATATGTGCATGTATCTTTATATGCAGCTTTAGCAGTGTAGATGGAGACTTAAACTTAGATCACTTATAACTGTTAGCTATGTTTGAGAACATATGTTATTTGAAACATATCTTAACAAAATATAGGTTTGCAGAGTTTAGGATGGGAAGACACTTAAGAGATTGCATACTTGCATATTTTTACTCACTTGTAAAAAGGCTTAAAAATCATATGTTCAAAGTAAGAAGACAATTATTGATAGCAATGGGAATTTAACACAGGAATCATTCCTTGTCAAACATCTTTATTATATTTCTTATACACTTGTATTTATGGTTCCTAGTAGACAGTTGTTTTAATGTTGGAAAAATTTTCAAATATATTTTATCTAAAACATATGCAAAATTTAAATGTAGACATTTTATTTTTGAAAAAAAAGTAGTATTGGAAGCACTCTGCCATATAGGGATAACAGTGATTTAGAGCTTTAATGGCCTTTAATCTAATTTTGACCATATCTACACATGATTAGATTGGTTTGTATAACAGATCACTAGGGATAATACTGTGGAAATTTATATGAAAATTTAATGCAAAATAATATGTGAGAAAAATCACAGTTGACTCATAATTATGTTTTTTTTTAGGATTAATAATTATAAGTCTATGCAGGACATTCTGAATGGCTAAATTTTAAAAACATTTTCTTGTGTTACTTACTTGGTTGCCTTGTTCTGTCCAAAAGCCAGCTGATTCTTGATTTCCATTGTATTGAAGATTAACCTGACTGACTGCAGAGTTTCCTTTCCCCCATATTTCGATTAATCCAAGCCTCATTTCATTTTTATTTATGTAACCATTTTCCACTATAGTGCTGGTCAAAGTGGTCTACAAGGATAAAAAAAAGGAAATGATTTAAACCCATCATTTGCAAGAGCAATTAAATTTTTAAAAACATATGCCTGTCTGGTAAGCACAATTGTATTTCTCATTATAGCAAATTGTGCATTCATACTGTTTGAAAGAAAGTATTTTCTTTAACAAACATAAAGAAAACTTCAAATGTTAACATAATAACATATAAATGATTTTACATACCTGGTTTAAATTAAATTGTATCAAGATATATTGACTTCTTTCATATGTGTCTGTAGAGAGAAAGAAAGGTGATATGTTTATTCATAAAGAATAATAAGCACTAGTATTTTATTGCTTTCCTGTATAAAAGGTGCTAAATATTATCAATGCATATCTAATTTTTCTTAACTTACTTATACACAGTCCAAAGAACACTGAAGAATGAGTCCTCAGACAGGATCTTTACATGAACAAGGAAGGAAACAGAACTACAATACAGTCAGGTACTTCCACACTCCTAGGTATTTTTCCAAAGACAAGAAAAACCCTCAGTTGGGAAAACACCTGCATATCCACGTTTATTGCAGAATTATTCACAATCGCTAGAACATGGAATCAACTCAGATGCCCCAAAATAGACAAATGGATTGAAAAAAATGTGGCATATATACTCTGTGGAATACTCCTCAGTCATAAAATACAATGAGACCTTGACGACTGATACAAAGTGAACAAATATAGAAGACTTAACATTAAGCAAAGCAAGTCAGACTATGAGAGAGGCACTGTATGTTCCCACTCAACATATACTGAATATCAGTACTCCAAAGCAGAAACTGAAAGTTTGGAAAGTGTAGTAGTAGGGAGGGCAGCTGTAGATACTAGAGATAGTAAGGATAGGGGTAGTAATGGGATGGAAAGAGGGGAACTTGGAAAAATATACATTCAATTGACACAAAAATGAAAAGTTATTTGCTGATGATAGTGTATATGGTAATGTTTTTGTCTTAACATACACTGTATTTCAAAACCTGGACATATTAGCTTGAAAATCACACTGGGCACATGTGTGTGTGTGTGCCCAAGATCTCTGGAGGAGAATGCAGGGAAAGGGATTGTAGCATGGCCTGCACTTGCGGGGCTGTGGTTTCTCACTTTCTTTCTCTCTGTTTCTATCTCTCTCTCTCTCTCTCTCTCTCTCTCTCTCTCTCTCTCTCTCCAGTGCATGCATGGTACCCTAGGCAAAAACCTCTAAAACAATTTTAAAAACAACAGTGAAGAGTTTAAACTAATAGCATTTGATTTCTTCAGTTTCTAAACCTTTTATAAAATGTTTAGAGGAGGGTTTGTTTTTGTTTTTGTTTTCAAGTCTTGCTTACTAGTGTATGATTCTTACATCATTTTTTTTGATATATCTAATTTACTACTAAATTCTTATATCTTGTGGTTGCAGAATATTAACTATGACTTACCTGAAAAGATGAAAGTTGCATGTCTTTTCTATTAGTGAAAAAAAAAACCTATCACCTGTGGATAATTTATTTAAATTGTAGAGAACTATACCACGAGAACTTCCTCCACACAGATGTTACTTTTATTTGTTTGTTTGTTTTATTGGAGAGGTTTGCGCTATAGGGCATGTGCGCTCGCAAGAAAGACAGAGAGACAGAAAGCGAGAAATCACCCCCCCCCCCAAGGGGAATGGCCACACAGCAATCTCTTCTCCTCCATTCTCCTTCGAGGTCTTGGGTACATACACACATGCACCCAGCATGAGTTTAAGGCACTGGATCCAGGACTTGAACCTCAATCGACTACATGGGAGTCCAGCAACATAGCCATTATGCCAACTGCTGGTCCTAGTTGTTACTTTTCATGACTAGGTTTGTGTCAAGTAAATTGTTCAGAATTCCCATCTAGTAAAGCTGACATTAATGGCAGTCAGTAAACTTAATCCTCTTCACTGTTATTAGTGTTTACTTGTAGTGTAAGAAGCTCCTGCAAGCATTTTGCTCAAAGGCTGATTTCTGGGTTCTTATCCAAATGTATATTTTCACTGCCCCAGAATCTGCATTCTTAAACTAGCCAGGTGTTTCTGATGCTTCCAGTCACCTGACATAGTAAAGAGCTTAGCAGTTCAGTCTTGTCTTGATCAGTCACGAATGAAATAAATAGAGATCAAAATTAAGGTATATCTTCTCATGCTGAAAAAAATGCTATTACATACATCAAAAAAAAAAGAAAAAAAACTTGTAGAGCAAAAATTGGAGGTACGCATCATAATGTGCTATTCTTTGTTGAAAATGATGAATATGTTATTAATTTGATTTGATTATTGTGCACTACATGAAGGCTCTGAAAAAACATATTTTATGCCACAAAAATGCACAATAATAAAATATAAATAAGAAGAAATTACTAAAAATGTTGAATATTAGAAACAAAACAAAAAATTAAAAGCAATAAGATAAACTAGAGAGACCAAATCAAACCAGAGTTTGATTTTGGGACTAGCTCCTTGTTTTAGAGGCTTCACCAGTATATCAGTATATGCCCTTGGAACTTGGCTGCTCAGTTAAAGAGACTTTACATATACTGAGTATCTACTCTAGGTAGAACAGCGCTGTGTGAGCGTCTAGAAGTGGCACAGCTGAAAATCCTGCCCACCCAAACCTCTGTTAGTAGACACTGACAGTGAGAATGAAGGATATTTATAATAAGGGGGAAGTCTTTAAGGTTTGTGACACTGCTTGCCTGTTTGAGTTGATTCAACTAATTGAATTCTTCAACTCTGAAAACATGAATAGCTTTGTACTCCACTTTTATGTATAACAACAGTTAACAGGATAAACAGTCTGCTAGAGAATATGCTTGTCATCAGTTATATTTCTCTACTAAATGGAGCACTCACCTATAGAGTCACCATCATCCCAAAACAGAGTTCCTTGTGCCATCTGATTATCATCTGCAGCAACAATGAGCTTCATGTAATTTTGGCGACTGTAAGAACAAAAGCATATAATTTGACCCATTTGTAGAATATGTCTAGTTATATGACATCCTTACAAGTATCCAAAATTCACGGTGAATAGTATCAGAGAAAATGACTGGTGCTAGGGGACCAAAATTACATCCGTAGCACAAACCTAAATAGTATAAAAACCTTTGTGGCTATTAACCAATACTTCCTTGTAAAAAGTCATAGAAAGCTTAAGGTTTTTGCCATGTTGGGGGGGGG